TCTGCCTGCCAACTGGTCCAGGATGACGATAGCAATCGCAGACCAATACAGGGATACTGTAGTACTAATGGAATACTGTAAGTCTCGCATGTCTGTCTCCATCGGCACGGACATTCGCTGTTCAGTGATGTGGATCGTCGAGCAAGTGCGTCTTTTGTGACTTAGGGGAGAAGATGAAACGATGAGGACGACCGTTAAACCGAACTAGCCGAGAGTAGTCAGTCTTCAACTTGAAAAATGAACATGCCCTGGTGCCTCGGATTGATCATCGCACATCGGTAATCTATTCCTCTGAGGCCCCTGCATAAATTGAAAACACGACGTTGCGCTCGGACGGACGGGGCTGTAATAAATTTAAAAAATAAACGTTCTCTTCCATGCAGAACCACTGTGAAAAGACGTACCCCACAACGTCTGCGATACCGGTGCAGAGTCGGCAGATGATATTAAGGTAGTTTAGTATTGTTGTTGTTTTATTATCGTCATCTAAGGTGAACATGGCTTGAACAGTAGAGTAACGCGTATTTATGATACCTGACCGTTAAAATGGTAGTTCAGGTTGATATCATGCGGCGTTCGCTGTTACAGCGAAGGTCATATCTCTTTTCGCAGACATGTAAGCCTCAGCGAGGTGTCTCCACGATTTGTATTGTCCTCCAAGGCGTATGTGCTAGCATGGAAACCAAGTTTGGCGCTGGTGTCTGACTTCATCCGATAGTTTTCTCAGATCGGTGTTGTCAGCAGCTTTTCGTGGAACTATCAATTGCATTGTAAAGTGCCACGTTCATAACGAAAAACAGCATATATGCGAAAAAGTGTTATTGACTTTCGGTGTCTAAAGTGCAGAATGAATTTTACGTCTGAAACGAATGTAATTTATGGCATGTGGATGCACAGATAGAAGATGTGAATTGTTGTTTTGGTACTGTTCGATTATCGTGGCTCAAAACGAAAATCGTAAGCTGTGGTTTTTGCCACATTACCGCATAAGCCTCAGCCCAAAAATTTGAGCCACCGCATAAACTTAAACCGGCATGAGACAATGTAGAGCCGTAGGTATAGAAGTAGGCTTAACGATAATCCGACTGAACCGGAATTAACTGCATAATTTTTGTATCAGCTTTAACAACGGACGCATTTAAAGGATGGTTGAAGATTTTCAGGACGTATTTTATTCATTTTGGGATACGATAACCGAAAATGCCATTTTTATTTCACATGTTTCTCACGTAGCGAAAAATACACTGTTTCCGTCAGCGATGTCCGTAAACTGCTGCTCCGTGCTGACCAGTCAATCACGCCTTCGCCCTGTCTGACCGAACCGGCCAATTGATCGCTCGA